AGACCGGAGTATTGATGCTGAAAATACAGCTTTGATCACAGGAATAAATTACATTTGGAAATATATTAAAATAGAAAACATTATTTTAAACTGTAATGATATTTTACAATTTCATTGTTTTACTGTATTTTTAATCAAATAAATGCAGCCTTGGTGGTGAACATGAAACATAAAAAAATCATACTTTTGGACAGTAGTATATATAGATAAAATATAATTTTCTGTTGTCAGAATTTCTGTCCATCCAAGCAGAATATACAGTTATATTTTAGGGGGATCCATTGGATGGTTGAGAGTGCTTATATTATTACTTGACTATAGAATTATGCAGGCAGATATTTGTGTGTGAGATATCTCAAATTGTGCATTTGTGTGTAAGCGAACAAGAGAATTCCTGTGTGAAGAGGAAAGGGTATCACTGGTTATAATGGCATATGGTTAATCCTCTTACACTGGTCTTGCTGTTGACCATTTCAGCGGTCGCTCTCCCACTCTAATGCTTTCTTTCCCCTTTTTCTCCCTTCTTCTACCAAACCCCATTCGTCTCCTATTTAATCCTCAATCCCCTTTTCACACACTCTCGCTTCCGTCCCTCCTTTTCTTACAGATCCAACAAGCCACTCAAATACATGGGAACAGATGAAGCAGATAGGCGATAAGTTTATGAATAAAATGGTGACTCTCTTCAACAGCAGTACGGTACAAATAAAGACACATTGACTAAATGGATCAAATAGCATAAGTGGGTCATATCTGAGTGATGATCTTCCTGCCCTTCGATTACAGTGCAGTTTCTTTTTTTAAATCCAGTGAGTGATCAGTGATATTAAGCTTTATCTGGGCTGAGACGAAGGGAGTCCCCGGATTAAAGCCCAGACTGAATGACAGAATGAATGTCGTGATATTAAGCTGTATTATAAATCCATCTATTCCTTCACAGACAACACACTCCAACTGTGTTCAAACCTGTGACTAATCTGGAAAAAGAGTTGCAGACAAATATAGAGGCCTTTAACTTGAATCATGTGCATGTTACTGCTGTTTAATCCAGTAATCCAGACTCATCTCTACATCAGGAGTACCTTTCTATAAAATCAAGAGTTACAAATCTGCAAAGAATTATTTAGCGGTACTAAAGAGATTACAGAGGGAATAATATCTCTTTGTGGCTTGTGTTTTATGTGTTTCTGTCTCTAAATCCACAAACACATGTGTACAGGTTAAAAATGGGATCCAAATTCTTAAAATGTGCTGTTTTTCATTAAAATCTGTGATTTAAAGTCAGAAATTTTGCAAAATGGTTGTTTTTGGGTTGTAAGTTTTGTCAGGAGCATTGCGTGTAGCTTTGGAGCATATGGCACTCAGATTATCAGTTTACCTGATTGGGCAGGTGACTCATACAGCAGATCGGCTAATTGGTTAGGCAGCAGAGACTTAACCATGCAATCCTATTGTACTCTAAACACACACACACACACACACACACACACACACAAGCGCTCCTCTATGCTCAACATGCTGACCTCACACAGAAATCCACCTGCCAACAGCCTGACCTTAAATAGACTGGGACTAGTTGTCACACTTTTTACTCAAGGTTTATTTTTGAAATTTCATTTCTGTGTAGGCATATACCATATATGTGACCCTGGACCACAAAACCAGTCATAAGGGTCAATTTTTTGAAATTGAGATTTATACACCATCTCAATAAATAAGCTGTCCATTGATGTATGGTTTGTTATGATAGAACAATATTTGGCCGAGATACAACTATTTGAAAATCTGGAATCTGAGGGTGCAAAAAAATCAAAATATTTAAAGTTGTCCAAATGAAATTCTTAGCAATGCATATTACTAATCAAAAAGTAAGTTTTGATATATTTACAGTAGGAAATTTACAAAATATCTTTATGGAACATGACCTTTACTTAATGTCCTAATGATTTTTAACATAAAAGAAAAATCAATCATTTTGACCCATACAATGTATTTTTGACTATTGCTACAAATATACCCCATGCAGCGACTTAAGACTGCTTTTGTGGTCCAGGGTCACATATATGCATGGTATATGTAGGCATATACCAATATAAATATTTCCACCATTGCTGCCAATAATGTTGCATGTTGTCATACTATCAATGAAAAAAAATTGCGCCGAAACCATATATATATTTCTATATTTTCATATAGAAATTGGTAGTAAATGTCACAAATAATGACAAAGAAACAGCAAGTAATATTGAATTAAATGGGAAAATTTGAAGACTGGAAAACTATTTTCTTGTAAAAACGTATTCCAGTAATGTTAGTTTCATTTACAGCTTTTACAAATAAAAAAAAAGGTTAAAGTGTAGGGTAAGTTGTCACAGTGGAACTTGCCATTAAACAGCCTATCACTGACTTTTCAAAAAAAACAAAAAGAATTGTAAAGCAAAAAACAATTCATTTAAATGAATATTGGTGATATTTACAATAAAATGTGACAAACTGCCCCAATAAAAAATGTGATAAATTGGGTGAATTATCCAGTCTCACTTATACATTGCAATGTAACAGTTCTACATAATTCCAGTCTCTATGCACTCCTCATTACCTCACTGAATAAACCAAACACCTTCTTCTTTTTGAATTACACCTGGAAATCTGTAGATTAATGAACTCTTTTAGTAGTCAGACTGTACTGTTACTACAAACAGTACAGTAACAAAACCAGTGCAGTCTTATCCGGTGAATAGTAATCATTTCCATTCCAATATATCCATACTTTCTGCAGGTTCAGACAGCAAATGGATGACGGTAAATCATGAGCCAGCCAGGCATAATAATATACATCATATCACATATTTTCCAATTCATTTCTTTATGGCAAGCCAATTTAGCATTTATTCCTTAAATCTTACTAGTATTCATTTTTATGTTAGTAGTGCAGATTGTTTAAATATATGCGTCTATGTAAATCAGAACTTTGTGCCTCACTGTTTTTGGATATCAGTTATTATTATTATTGCCCTGTTACAAAATTACAAAAATGGCAAAATCAAAACATATGTCATCATATTTTCTCACTGCACATCTCTCTGCTCTTCCTGCAAATTACTATAACTATACTATAACTACTTAACTGTGATTGGCTTGACTGAATTTGCCACTAACCGTTGCGTGTCCGGTTAAAAAAAGTTATAGTTAAATAGGTAAAGACTCTGTCTAAAGACCCTGCGTTCTGGTCCATTCAGGAAGAAACTGCTACATTGTGCGTGTGTGATTACATGGTAACCAATCACAAAATAAGACCTTTTTTCGGATTAATGTAAACAGAATGGCATTACACAGCTTATACTTCTTTTACTTTTTTGACATGTTTGTGTAAAATTGATAGCAAATTTAAATTAAATAGTAATGTCATGCATGATAATCATTTTCATTATTGATCATTGGTGTAAAAATGTATTAGACACTTATTAGTACTTATTCCAGTAGGGAACACCTGTTCAATTAATTTGTTCATTTACAGGTTGTTAAAGGTAGCAAATGAGATCCTAGTGTTTCATATCTACTTTTCTACAAATCCACTAATATCAAATAAACAGTACAAGTAATGTTAATAGTAGCCATTTGTTACCAGGAACAATGGAATTGTTATCACTACTGGATTAATGGTTAGTAGCAAAGAAATAATTTTATACATATTATTATTAGCAACTGAATACATATAAGTCGCTACTGCAATAAGCAGGGCTACTCGTATATAATGAATAGCAAGTGAAATTTAAAAACATGCTAGCAACTATTAGATTACTAAATAAATTTAATTCAATGTGTTACTTGTTGTGTTTCTTCATATATAATTGTGAAATTTACTAGCTACTTCTGACTGAAAATTGATTCTACACCAATTACTTTCATTGTTTAGTAAATACGTTGTTAATAAATATTACTCAGTACTTTATTTGTGTAATTACACTGTAACAAGGACACCTTGAAATGTTACCAAGGTGTTACTTTAAGTGTTACCAAAGATAGGTAGGTTTAAGGAATAAACGTTAATACGGCTTGCCATAAGAACTCCTTCATCTCATACTAACTGAAGCATGCATCTGCAGTATTCATCAATCTGAAGTCTACATCACACTTCTGTAAGTACATGTGGACGTTTGCCATGTGAAACTGACCCACAAATACGCGCGCAAGAATGTGGAAAACTTTTGCGCGTTTTCAAAGCCAGTGTGCACCTCACCTTTGGGGAAAGGGTTTGGTTGAACCACGTACAGAAACGCGTGGACCATGTGGAAAACAATACCGATTGGACCCGGTTCATAATACGCGTGCGTTTCGTACACCACCGACGGCACGAAGCCAAAGTCCAGCGTTTCCACGGGCGCTCTGAGCATCGTGTTGCGCGGAGGCGAATCCCGGTGCTCCTCTCGGGCTTCGCTGCTCGTGAGACCCGAGCACATCACCAGCACGAGCCCCACTTTCCACCACATGCCTGTCAGTCCTTTACGCGGGGAGATTTTGATAAATAACGGGAGGGAACGAAAAGTGGAGGAGAGATAATGTGAGTTTGTTTGTTTGTTTGGAATGCTCTCTAGTCCTCGACATCAAAAATACAAATTAGAAAAAAATAACCCCAGACACATAAAAAAATACAAAATAATGAAAAAATATATATTCCAGCTGGTGCGTTTATTCCCCGCTTCCTTTTGATGGCTTCATGGTAAACATCCCTCCGGTCTGGACAGCTCAGGATGAGCTGAGTGTTTGTCTGACCTCTGTGCGCTCCTCTTCTGTCTGCTCTGCAGTGCACTAGCACTGGAGATGGCTTTAGAGGGAAATCACGTCTAGTGAGTCAAGCCAAGTCACTCAAAGCAGTTTGTCATTCCTTTCCTGTGTGGAAGAAGCTGAAATAACCTACAGCACTTAACACTATGCACACAATTCCAAATCGACAATACTGTCAATAACTGCAGATATGAGCCAAATAAATAGCTTCTATAGCTTCATACACTGTTTTGCCCCAGGAGTTGATTTTTGTTAAAACGTATATTTCATCTTAGATTAACAGATTTCAGCTTTACTGTTTTTGTTAGTTATTATGTCACAAAACTTTTTTTTCCCCCCGATGTTTTATCATGCCTTTTTCTGGATTGATTGATTGATTGATTGAATTAGAACAAATTCAAATTAACTACAGCATCATAACAATTAAATGATCACACATTGATTAATCATAATTCATAATTTCATAAGTTTAATGTTAACACTTTAGTATAGGCACTAATTATCACTATTAACACATTTTCTGCATAACCACATCCCTAATCCTACCCAATACCTAAACTTAACAACTAACTATTAACAAAACAGCAAAGTAGGAGTTTATTGAGGCAAAAGTCATACAGTATATGGTTTGTTAATAGCAGAGAATTGGACCTTAAAATAAAGTGTGATCAGTTTAATTGGACGTTTAACATACCATATGCTGTAAATCCTTTCCTATATACTACAATATAGGCATAGTTCCATTTATGAAATATTTTATCGTTTTATATTTATGTACTCCACAAAATATTTAAAATTCTTAGACATACTGGTTATCAGACTCAACAGTCAAAGAATGATGATACAGTAACTTAGTGGTCACAACTTTATTAACTAACAGTCATTGTTTACAGAAATACACAGCAATGTTCTCTTTTCACACAGTCAAAAAGTCAGATGAGCAGAAAAGCAGCAAATCCGGACTCTGCCAAGACACTAGCTGATGGTCTTCTTCACTGAAATGTCCCACAGCTACATTTGGAACAGCTGAAAAGCCTCTGTGCAGCCGTGTGCGCATGGACATGAATACCAATAAACAGAGACAGAGAGTGAGAGAAAGACAGACGTAGAAAGAGGCCACAATCTGTATTATGTCAGACATCACAACCAAACTCAATGCACACACACACATCACAGAGGGACAGAAGAAGAGAAAAAAAGAGAGCTTTGATCAAGGGTATGATAGAGCATTTTAAAGTTACATGATCAGTAAATTAGTACAAAATAAGGATTCAATTCTTCTGGTCTTCATCCATAAACACAACCGTTATTGTCTTTTAAACTATAACAGATCTTATATAAAATTTAAAAAAGAAAGAAAAAAATCAGATTGTTTTATTTTTTTAATATTATGTATCATACCCTCACTATATACGGTGCGGTCGAAGAGTCAAAATCTAATTTAAACCTGTTTATAAACAATATCTTATAATTTTTAAATATTTGAAGAAACGATTAAAATAGTATAAAAAAAAATATATATATATATATATATACTGTGTGTGTGTATATATATTTCTTATTATTTTATATATATAATAATTTATAATTATTTTATCTATTCAAATTCTATATTTCAAATATATTTTATGCACTTTCAAATATAAGCTCATGCACTGTTTTTAGATCACAGAGCAAAATGAATAAGCACATTTGTGAGAATGAGTATGTTTTGTTCATTTAAGCGTGAGAGCAACTGTTATTAAAGCAAATGGGGAGCAAACTACAAGAAATATAATGAAAACGTGAGAGTGACTTTTGAACTCCACTGTACATCAGCTCAGCAGAATTTGAGATATCTAATCCGGTTAGACTTTGTCTCATAGCGGTATTCATTCATTCTGTGATCTAATTTTACACACATTCCAAGTCAAAATCTCAATCGGTTCAGTGTTTAGATCTCTATGGTTTTAGCACAGATCAGTTTAGCGTTACATAATCTTTAGGTGACTATTTTTGGCCTGGGGTCGGAGTGGTTGGATTTAATTAATTCGGTCTGGACTTGTTTTAGCTGTGCATGTGATGTTTAGGGGTGTCCTGACTCACTTGGTGCCATTTAAACTAATATAGTAATAATAAGATTATAATTCTTCATGAAAATGCATATTAAGGTTCCACCCTAAACAAATGACAACCACAACAACAAGGTACAAAACAACAAAACTTTAATAAACACAATGCCCTGATTCCTCTCCCCAATTCTGTCTCTGAAACATCCCACACAAGGGATTTGACATCGTCATTCCTCTTCAGTTTCTACAGGCTGAAGCCGATATGGGTACAAAAACACACCGAAAACAACAAACTGATATTGACCAGTGAGAGAAAACAGCAGTGAAGTCCAGCAGTGTGGAAAGAACGGGATGGCTGGATCTGAATGTATTTCCAAATAAATGGATACGAGTATGAATTAGAAAGGTTCAATCAAGCAGTACTGATCCATATCCAGCACAGCCAAACTTCAGCCTTATTTCAAGAGCCAAAAGGTGACTGAACCTCCGGGAAAGCACAGGCAGTTACACTGAAAAGCACAACAGAACCAAACATTTGCTTAAAATGCTCTCTTTCTTTCAAAAAGAAGCAGAAGTATTTCTAACATCAGTGTTTCGAATGTAAAAACAATGAGAAATGCTCGCTGATATCATTTTGGCAGTTTAAGTCAAGTGAATGCTTCTGAAAAGGTTTTGAAAAATGTGAGTTTGCATTAGTTTGATAACTGAGGGTAAACAGTTCCTTGGCATATTTGATATTTTCACGTAATAATCTTCCTAAATGATAATTAAAATCAAACAACCTTTTGTTTTTGAAAAAACTGAGCACCTTACACAATACGACCATGCCACCGTGGTCACCATGATGATGATATTACAAAGCAAAGCCATTATAGCCACACATTTGTAATACAAGAAATACAAATTCCAAACGCAGTCAAAAATAAACAATAAACAGAAAAACAAAACAAGTTGTCATTACTGAGAGAGAGAAAACAAAAACTTAAATTCTGACATCCAGCACTACAAAGAGACATTAGTGGTTTATAAAAAGTTTTTTTTTTAAGAGTGTGGTCTGTTATGCAAATCAAATGTACAAAAAATTATTGTCTATGATGATAATGCACTATACATGATGCATGGGCATATATTACTGATCATGGACATTCACAGATGTGACTGTTAACTGATAAGTTGGTTATTCTGAAACGTTGACTCATATCTTACATTACTGGATTCTGATGCTCATTGACCTATAAAAACTGTTTATTTGGGGTCAACAGGCCTTTTTTTTTTTTTAAATATACACCCAAGATATTAGCAAAAGGCTGTAAATTCAGCTTTGCTTTGGTCAAGATTCTGAAGTTTGGAATGTTGGTAATTGACTATTTAGCATCAGCATCAATGTATGATCGTTCATCTGATACGCTACTCTCTGTGCAATAAACGCTTGAGGGGGAAAAAACAGACTTTCCATCCTTAAATGGAAAATATTTAATTCCTTCATTTTAACAAAACACATTACGCTACTGAAGTAGATTCAGTTTTCTGATTCTATGCGACTATCTTGCATTAATCAACTATCCTTTCATTCAGATGCAGTGCTTAAATCAATCCAAATATCACAGGCATGCGTTTCATCGCAGTATCACTTACTCACAATGGCCTTTTAAAAGGTGCAACAATGCAAAACATTTTTTTAATTAATTTTGTCATTGGTAACCCTGTCTTTAAACTGAAATTTAGTCATTCAGTCATAAATGAGCAACTGTCTTCATAATTAAACATGTGATACGGTATTTTAGCCTGCTGTCTCAAAGATACAAAAAAAAAAAAAATCTGCCTAACACATCTGACTGACAATGAACATGGTGATATTTCAAACTAAAAGTCTTTGAGGGAATTTGAGAATTGTAGATGAAGGGACACTTGCAAATAGAATTTTTAACATTTGTTTTGGAGCACTGCATATTACATTTTTGGAGTATTTGCATCCTATTTTGTTCCACACATGTATGGAATCTTCTGAATCTGTAATTTAGGAATATAATCCATCCCTTTTCTCATTTTCTTCATTTGATGCCTCCTTTGAAAGGTAAGCACAGTGACCATCAGACCAAGATCTCCCCCGCCGTCCAAAGGTGACCTCCGCTGGTGATCTCGAGCCTCTTGAAAACTTCACTGGGTGGATTCCAGATGGGTAAAACTGTGTGTGACTGTCTGTGTTTAAGTCTTAAATAAATTAGGTGCATCACTTATTAATAAATATCCTGCAGTTTCTCGCTGTCCCAATCCAACGAGCTCAAATGTCAATCAAGCTAGCAGAGAGGGCGGGCATTTCAGTGCATACTTGGCGTCACTCTTACACATGAAGGTGCATATCAATGTCAGTCAATACGGTTACCGCAGATAGTAAAGCGGTCAATCTCCAGCAAGTCTTTTTTGGGCACCCTGTGTTTAAGTTCGGTATCGTCCTGAATAAGGCTTTTCTCTTCTGATTCATCTGGTGTAGTGAGGAACTGATCTGATTGGCTGGTGGGGAGCTGAGGGGCGGGGCATTCGTCACTTTGGCTGGGCTGAGTGGTGACTGATGCAGACAAGCCCTCCTCTGCTGGCTCACCTTCAGATGGGTGTGGACGCAATTGGTTAGTGAGAATAAAACCTTTATAAGTATGGAAGACAAATAATGACAGATGAAATTAAAGCCCTGAAAATACAAGGCGTTAAAATGCAAGCACTGTTAATGCAATGCATTATTTTTTCAGTCTTTTTTTGTTTCAAAGACATTTGTCCTAATTTTTCTACCATATATAAGACTCTATTATCTACTGACCCTATTGCTCACTCTATTAACAGGGCTTGTTGTGTGTGTGTGTGTTACCTGCTGGTTCTCGTGTGTGTTTGGTTCGGTGGGCTCTGCTAGACGCTCTGCTGGGAGCTGCAGAGGGAGGATTCTGAAACAGCTTCTCCTCCATATTGGCCTCTTTCACGTACATACAGGATTTCCCCAACAACACAATACTGTTCAGCACCTTCAGGGTGATCATACTGAATAAACACACACACACACAGGCTCAGCGAAACATTCAGATCATTTACGCTACTGTTCAAACGTTTGGGATCAGTTACATTTTTTAAAGCAGATTCTTATGTTCACTAAGAGTAAAAACAAAAAAAAAAATTTTTTTTATTATTATTATTATCCGAGTTGTCATTTAGAACAATTAAATAAAATATTATTTATTTAAATTAAATGTGTATATTTATTAAAATATAATGTATTTATATATATATATATATATATATATATATATACAGTATATATATAAACTTATTTTAAACTGTTACAAAAACTGTGAGCTCATACCCCAGGTAGAAGAGCACAACACACACAATGGACAGAGATCCCTGGATCTTCACAGAGCTGGTCACCACTCGGATCAACTGTCAACCACATACTACATGAGCATAACTGTAATACTTCATTAACACACTTCACAGTACCTTCATGGTAAATGGCTTTAAAAGTATAGAAAATTATAGCTAATGAAACTAAAAGGAAAGATTTACTTTAAGTGTTAAAGTCCGTGTAAAGCAATATTAAAGGGGTCATATGACATTGCTAAAAAGAACATTATTTTTTGTAATGCAATGTGTTTATGCGGTTTAAGGTTCAAAAAACACATTATTTTCCACATACTGTACATTA